ACCCCTAGCCTCGCCGGGCATCTGGCCACTCAAGAAGGAGCTAAAAGGGGAGGAGCCGGAGTTCCAGGAACTCCCTCATCCCACGGGCCGGGGTAACTACCCCTCAGCGGATCACTTCAGTGAGCTCATCCGTAGCACATTCCTGGAGGAGGTCCCCATGGGCATGGTAGATGGCCCTCTCACCAAGGTAGAGGCAGCAGCGCGCTGTGGCTGCAATATGGAGGATCTTTGTCCAGGCCCCCTAGCGGGCATCGACGAAGGGGACAAGATCCGCACCATCTACGATGGCTCGGTGGGCGGGGCCAATGACACCATCAGGAACCAGACGGTGGAAAGGACGACGGCTCCGACGGTGCTGGATGGGGTACAAGCTCTTCATTGGCTACATGCGGCAGCTGAGGAGGGACCTCCCTCTCAGGGTGCCGCCGGCCCCGAGAAGGAGGTCGCCAAATCTCCACCCGAGGGCTGGCTATGGCCGGAGCCGGGCACCAGGTGGGTGCTGCTCAAGGCGGACGTCACCAAGGCCCACCGGAGAGTAAAGGTCCTCAGAAAGGACTGGCGGTTCCAGGTGGCTTCACTGGGGGAAGAATGGTGGGTGAACAAGGTAGGCACATACGGCATGGCCAGTGCCCAATCCTACTGGGGACGCCTGGCAGCCCTTCTACTCAGGGTCCTCTACGCACTTTTCCCTCAAGTGGATTGGAACTTCGTCTTTGTGGATGACTTCCTGTGGCTGCTTCGTAGCGAGGGGGCAGTAAACTTGGCGGTGGCGCTGTTGGCAACACTCCTGGCCTTGGGCACCCCGCTTAGCTGGAAGAAGACACATTTGGCGGAGGTCAACACGTGGCTGGGCTTCGTGGTCCACCCGAACATCCCGCAGGTTCTCATGGCCGCCAACAAACACATCCTGGTGATGGAGGTCCTGCAGACCATGGTGGAAGGGCAGGCGATGCACTCAAAGGACATCGAGAAGGCCCTGGGCCGCATCCAATGGGCCACTGCGGCATGTCCGCTGGCGAAGTCGATGCTTCAACCATTGTGGGCCTGGAAGATGGCCACCACCACGGTGGGGAAACCCCCCAAGGTGGTCAGGATGCTGGCGTTCATGCTGCGGTTCCTCTTCAACACGCCCTTCGTCCAGTACTCCCCTTACTTGCCGAAGTCCTCTTGGTGGGGTTGCAGCGATGCTAGCGCCTCGGACGAAGGACTGGCATTTGTGGGAGGATGGTGCTCCAACAAAACGGAGCCGGAAAAGAAGGAGGTGTACTGGTTCCACGAGCAGATCCACGTGGAGGAGTACCCTTGGGCATTCAAGAATGGGGATCCCAAGCGGAGGATTGCGGCTTTGGAAATGCTGGGCACGCTCTTCCTCTGTAACATGATCCTCACGCACCAAGGCCCTCTGTCCTCCCGGGTCCGACTCCCGGTGGGCAGTGACAATCAGGGCAACGTCATGGCGATGCTCAACCTTGGATCCAAGAAGCCCTACACCGCGGCTATCCTGATGGAGCTGGTCTTCCTGCTCCACACCCATGGCTGCTCGCTGGCGGCCAACCACGTGCCCCGGGAATTCAACCAGTGGGCCGATGAGCTGACGCACCCAGATTTCTCTGGGTTCGACCCTTTGCACAGGGTCCCTAGACAGGAACTCTGCGAGGAGTTCGTTTTTCTCCCGCGTCTCCTGAATGGAGATGCATTTGATCTCAGCGTGGGCCCACCCATGCTCCCGTGACCGGAGCCGGTGGGTGACTCACTTCCCCTGGTGGCAGACCCCCCTGTGGCCTGGGTGCCCCGGGCCCCGGCTCAGGGGCGGGCGCTATCAGTCTGCACACCCGTTCTTCAGTTTTTGAGAGTTTGTGGTGGGTGGCCCATGGGGCCCACCCAGCCGTTGACATCTGACAGGGGAAGATGAGTCCCTGGCACCAACACATTGCTCGGATAAAAGAGTTATCGCTTGCATGTGTGGTGCCGTTTGGTTAGCTTACATACACTAGTTGAAAGCATTGTTTGCCTTTGTTGGCAAGCGCTCCCATCATTTCAGTGAAGATTCATAACATCGAGCCTGCATTGGGCGGTTCCCTCAGCTGGTCAGAAACTCAAGGCTGGCAGCACACCGCGCATCAGAACTTTAAGCTGAAACTGGTTTTGGCTTTTGCGAGCTGCACATCAGGTTTGATTCATCCGAAGGGCAGAAATTGGAACCTGGATCGGAGGTTGGGTCATTCCCAACCAGAATTACTCAGGAAGGCATAATCCTCCAACCATCATTCCAAACATGGCATAATTACTCATAAGTTTGCATGTTTGGAATGGCTTGGGGCTATCGGCACCCAGCTGCTCATGTCCTGATTGAAGTGCTCAGTTGTGGCCTCGGCTCGCCCACTCGAGCGCCCACGGTTCTTAGCTTGAAAGAATGGCCATGTGTGCGGCTCCACAGCTGAATTTTGTGTTTATGACCCCCTCCTCAGAATAAAACGCCCACCTAGCGAAGAAAACATGTGGCAACACATGTTTTTGTATCCAGGACCCGGCAACAAACAGTGCTCCTGCTTAAGCAAAGAGTTCAAACTAATCCGACTGCTACTTTGCCTTCCTTTGCTTTTTGGCAAGGAATTCAACTTGGCGGGGATTCTTGGCGGTTCGGTTTTGCGTGTCTGGGGACTTGTTTTAATGAATAGGGGCTTTGTTTTTCATGCATAGCATGTGAACACTCTTTGTTCTGACAATACGCATTAGCAAGACATGTGTGCGCAGACAGGCTGTTTGTCCTTGTCCTATCAGGTTATCTATTTGGTTGATTGTGGCTGGTTTGAGCTTGGACAGCGTTCAGTCGCCCATGTCAGCTCCTCTTAAACGTGTCCTCTGGGGGCAAACCCTGTTTTGGCGATGCGCTTCTCAGCTTGGCCCGTGAATCGTTTCTGGCGTATGCAAGCACCACGCGGCGTGCTGACTCGGAGCCGTGGACGAGGGCATTTGCAAGTTTGCCTTCGGCTTGCTTGCAGCTTCATGCTTGCAATTTTTGCCCATTTGGTTGAACCGTCCCGTCTGGTTTCTGCATGTGCCACCCGCATGTTAGGAGCTAATACTTTCGTTGTGGGAGGGGTAGGCGTACGTGATTCTTTGGGTCTCCGAGTTTGCACTCGTTTGGAGTGAGTTATGCATGGATTGTTCAGCGTGTTGGTGCAGGTGCTGACACTAGTCAGCCCGAGTTGAGGAAGCAAGTGCGTGATGAACAAGTGGAAAGCACTTGTTCAACATGTTTGGACCAGCATATTGGCCAATTTGCCTCTGTTTGAATGGTTGGCAGTTTGCCTGGCACCGGGATCTGACGATCTGGATGCTGCAGGATTTGTCTAGCTTCCTTCAGCTTGCATGACTTCTGTCCAGCGCCGGGCAGCCACTTGAGTGGCACTGGAACAGAACAAGAGAGACCAACACTCGTCACTAGCAGCAACAGCTGAAAGTGCTGCTTGACTGGCGCGGGGAATGCGGGGCCCTTGTTCCACGAGGAGCATTGTTTGTTGTGCGTCTTATTTTTGGTGCAGGGGACGGTATTAGCGTCAACCAAGCTTCAAATGTTATGGACATCACACGTAGTTGGTGTACATCACACGTGTTGGGACACATAGTTGCTCTCTTCTCTCAAGTTCGAGTCTACGCTTAGCATCCGTTCTGGCTATTTGGAAGTTGCAGGTGGCCCATCGCCAAACCAGATTCATTGCATCATGTATGTCACCCACAAGGGCCACCCGTTTACTGGTCCACGCACCGGGGTCAACGTTCCGCCTCATGACCTAAGACTGAGGAAGCTGAAGCCCTCAAGGCACCTCGGAGTTCCAAGGACCAAGGCAACAGATGAACCGCTGTAGCATCAGCAGGTTTGCAGCAGCAGCAGCAGAAGCAGCAGACCACTGCTGGACAACATGAACGTTTCCCACACCGAACCGCTCGGATCAACAATCATTGAAACTTAGTCATTTCGGGGAATCAAAGTTAGGGCCCGGCAGCTTTGAACTTCTCGACTGCTCGCGCTTTTCTGTAGAATTGGATCTTGCACACGTCTTAACCTTCTTCCGCTGTAATATTGAATCCATGACCAATTGTAAAACAATAGGCGCAAACCCCACTACCCATCCCTTTGGAAGAAGCAGCCGACGCCCCTACCTCTCGCCTGCAATCAATGGGTATTAGACCAACAGTTTGGCTGTGCGCAGCCTACAGCAAAGAAATTATGTCCTACAGGTCTCCAGCAGTCCACTCTTCCATGGTACATGCCAACTACGCAAATGGCCCTTGTCAAACATTTGCAGAACGGGCACATACCGCTGCATGGAATGCGCCCTGGGACTGGTGGGGCAAAATATCAGGGCCTAATTGCTTGCGGGAGTTTTGACCAGGTTTAGTCGTGGTTCTGGAAAAGCTGTGTGTGTGGGTGATTATTTAGCCCTCTACATCGCTGGGAAAGCAACAAGACACATGCATTGTGGATTTCCTTGTATGCTGACTGTGGCCTAGCCCATCGTGTTCCACCATGAGGAAGCGGACAAATGGCCGTCGCATATTTCAGAAATGAAGGTTTTCGGAGTTCCGTGAAGGAGTATGTTTTTTGCAGCCAGGGTGGCAGTTGTTTAATCAGCGCATTGTCCCCGTACGCGCTCTATATACATTTCGGTGCGTGTAAGGACTGCTGCTGGCTGATTTGCACATGATTCTCGCAATTGGGAACTGCTCATGATTTTTTTGTGTCTTCTTCCTTTCAAAGCCGGCCAAGAGAGAAAGGGGTTCCTATTTTGAGGAGCTCATTAAAATTCACCATGGCAATTTGAAGCTTGACCCTTTCCATCAGAGCAAAAGAAGCCACCCAGATCCCCCCCAAAAAACTTTGCTCAAAACACAATTTGGGGGACATGAGTTCAAGTGGGTCGTTTTAGGGGGGACCTCGAAAAGCGGTGTGTGCTTTTGGTTCACCTTACCAAATGGGTTAAAATCCCGTCCGCCAGGCTGCCGGCATCCTGGCCGCTTGATCGTCAGGCATGGATCCGCGGGTCGGGTTCCGGTCGGGTTCCGGTCGGGGTGGGCGCCGGATACAGTCGGTGAAGGAGTCGCCTGATGTCGAGGATCCGATTCCTTGAAACCAGGCTGGCGGATATAGCCAAGAAAAAGATAGAGGGAGATCCCTTGGATGACGAAAATGGTCAAGATGTTGGTGCAACCAGTTGCCTCCGCCTTGGGAGCCCAAAACGATGGGCCATGGATGGGCTAACCCTGCAAAGGCTTTGTTGAAGGCTCGGTCGGGGCGGTGTCAAGCCTTCAGAAGGATGGTGGGAAGCCACTAAGGATGCTTCAGAGGGGATGCTGGCCATAGCCCACCAGAGAGACTGCCACGAACACAGCATCCTGACGCAGGTCTGCCGACATTTGGGTGTGTCTCAAGAATATGGGATGGGTTGCGTCTCTGTTGCTTTCCCCTTAAACAACACAAAATGGGTATCCTCAACAAAAGACAAGCATGCTTTGGTGGACCCGATTCTGGAAGGAGCTGAAACACACTGACAAACTACCAAGCAGGGCAGAAGAACGGGAGCCCACAAGCGCATGCCCACAAGCGCATACAAACCATTTTCTAGAATTCCGAGTGATAGGAAGCCAGGGAAAGCAGCTGGATGGTCTAAGCTCTCCCCCTTTACAAACCTCCCAGGCGGCATGTAACTGAACAAGTAGACCCCAATCGGCCTTGAATGCCATAGCCAAGTGAGCGCACGAAGCTTGTGGATCTTGAAAGGCAGGTTGCATGGACCCATATCATATAATATATGAACATGCCCATTTAGTGCTCCTTGCCAAACTAGGGGTGCACACCAATGTGTTTTTCACAATGTAGCATTGAACAAGGTAGCACCTGCAGCTTTTGGTTGTCTAAGGGGAGCATGACATATTCAGTGATGGGCAACGTTTGCTTTTTTTGCAGGCCCCGTTGCAGGCCTCCAGTCGCTGATGCGGCCAAATTCATCGCGAGGCGGCCACGGAAGAAGTCCGCATGGCTATGGCAAAAAGGTTTTTTACCTACCATATTTCAATTCTGGGGCCCATTGCAAATTGAGAACCCCTGCCATGAGAACCCCAATTTTTCAACCACAAGCACGAAGTGCTACACAGTAAAAACATGATACATAGGGCAAAGGATGACATGTTTATACCGCCAACATGGCAAGCAGTTGCTGCCTCGTTTGTTGATTGGGACCGTCGCGTGGGAAGCATTGCGTATGTTCATTCTCCATGGCAGCAGCGTTTACATAGTGGCGAAGGAATCAGCAGAGTGGAAGATAGTTTGTATATCGCTATTTAAGAATATGTCTGCATGTAGAAGCATTTGCAGGATTTTGCAAGTGCATATCTACAGGAAACATATGTGCTACATGAGTAGGTACATGCATACCCCTTCACTCAGATATTGTATTCATAGCTCGAGTTCCGTCGACCTTGTTGGTTTCTCTGCTGTCATTGTCATATTTGTTCAATCCCTTTTGTATGAGCTGAAGATGTGATTATCGCCATGACGAGCCACCGCGGATATCGCCTACCCAAATCACATGCGACCAGAGGCGGCGGGCTTCCCAAAGATTAGCGAAACAATCAAGCAGGTAATTATAGTTTCCTTGCCTTTTCGTAGCTTGGTACTTCTTCCTCGCCCTGCTCGTTGCACCGTCCTGCTGGGGCAAGGGAAGGGCATCTCTGAAGTTGCGGTGGGTGCCAGGCATCCATGCTTCTCGTGCAAGCGAGGATTAAGAACGGCGTTGACAGGTAATGCCATGTGTTGGACAGGCAAAAGCGAAGGGTGTTGCAAGGAACCCCATTTCCTACAGCATGTTGTTGTTTTGCGTTTCTGACTGGGATTTGACCATGTCCTTGGCTGAATGTTGGGATTGGTCTCTGACAATCCAGCACGAGCGTGGCATCATTGCAGAGCATGTTAAAGGAAAGCCCATTTGCAGAGCCCGCATGTGTGTTGGCAGGTTTCTCCATTTCCATGGCTTTTCGGCAAGTTTTGTTGCCACCCATGCGAGACCCGGCAAGGTTCTGTTTGCATGCCGCCTGGCACGCATTTGCCGCACATGGAAAATTAGCTCTCCGTCGATCCCTGCAGCTGTAAATGCTAGTTGCAAAAAGGTCGGCGTGTGGCACTGCGGGCAGCTTCAGCAAGACCAACAATCATGGTGGTTCGCCTGGGGCAGAAGAGTTGTTTTGGATGCAAATACAGCGAGGGTACCGAATAGCGATGTTGGCTTTTGAAACCCACTCGCTCGGATAGGTAAGCTGATTCAAGGAGGAATCATGTTTTCCACTGCGGTTGCCTTGGCCCGGATACCAGTGATTTGGAGCCAACATTGGGCTCTACCCCAAGCTAGTCCCAACAAGGGCCCTCTTGGATCGACAGTGGCGGTTTTTTGACCGGGGTAGATGGCGGTTGGTAAGAGGCTGGGCCCAACCAAAAATAGATACGGCCGCCAGTGTTGTATATTGCAGTCCTTTACATGATTTGGGTAGACCATTTTGACGCCGGGTTTGGATTGTGACGCATGGCGCTTCCCACTCAGGTTTCACCTGTTGCGTTGTGCCAGGTGGCGTGCCGTATCCCTATGTTGCGCAGTTTCGGCTCTGACCGCTGCCGCCTGAGCCAAGCGGAAGTTGCAACGGAAGTGATTCACTGCGCTTGATGCGTAGAACGGTATTTTGTTTTTCTTTTTTGGCATCGACCCTTACTCTTTTCACTGGGCTTGGCAGAATCACGCAAAGCACGAGGCTTAACGTAGAAGCACACATTTTTGCTGATCAGCAGAGCTGCTGTTGTTTCGGAGAATTGAGGATTCCTTTTCGGTTTCCTCGGGAAACTGCCTTGGTTTCGTCGCCGTATCGAGCAGCTATGGGTGCCTTGGATGCAAGCTTGCAATCATCGATAATGCGAACTATGTCACTGGGCTTAACTCAAAATGGGGTACGCTCTGAATTGTGTTCTTGTTTTCGTTTCCTTAAACCAAGCCTAAAACGGGTATCCTCAACAAAGACACACCCACATACCAAACATAAGAGACCCTCTTCGAATGTTTGCATATTCCATTTTGCAACTAAATTTAAATATCCAGCAATCAGCTGTGACTGTGGTCGCGCATTCGACCATATTAGACCTTTATCGTCTTTTGACAGGTTGGCGAGCATGTTTTTGCGTGGCTAGGCGGTGAGATCCTATCGGTTTCTGGTGGCGAGACTGGCATGCACATGTGCGCCCAGATGACGGCTTCAGCGGTGTGATGTCAGCAGATGGTGGCACGGGCAGCGCGGTGGTTTCAGCATCTCGGCTTGACTTGTGCAAGGTCTGAAGAGAAGATCCCCGCTAACGGCTCCCTTCTACCGAACAGGTCGCTGGTTGCAACGTACTTAGAGATTACATTCTCCAAAAGCCAGGAGAAGGTCAAGGCCATTTTTAAGCGCTACGACCTCAACCAGGATGGCTGCATCAACCGCCAGGACCGCGAAAATCACGCGCGGGGCCCGCAGCGCAAGTTCTGGGGCTCCATACATAAAATATCTGGCCTGCTTTTCAGTGTTGTTACGCGCAAAGAGCCCACTGTTTTTATTTGTAAGGTCAGTTTCTAAAATTATTGGTCTATATTACTGTGTAGACTTCCTTTAGCATGCCAGCCCGGCAGCATGGACTTGTCGGCATGCGGGCGTGGATATGCATCACAGGCAAGGTAGACACCGCTGAGGGCTCTCAAGTGGCAGCCCCCATTTACCGGCTTATTTTGGGCCAGAACCTGAAAATGCTAGTTGCATTACAAAGGCACCAAATGATCTGCTCTGGGCTCGGGTGGTTTCGCCAGGAGTTGTGGACGGTTCTCAGCGCTCTTTGCCCGACACTGTCCGAGCCAGAGGCAGGAGGGCGGGGAGCTGTGGACTGAAACGGCGATGGAAAGGTCAGCTGCCCGCCTGAGGACAATCAACATCCAGGTCTGAGCTTGAGAGGTTCGGAGGTTTGTATGGCGTAGTTCCCAAGGCAGATATTTGCCTATCTTCACACATAAGGACACCTATATGTCTCACATGAGTGACGCACAAGCTCCAGACCTTCACAGCCTGAAATCCATACAGCTTTTCAGAGATGCGAAGCAATGAGCTTCGAAGGTCCCGACTGGAAAGTTGGCAAAGTGAGCGCCGAAAACCCTGAGCCAGAGGAGGTTCAACGAATTACACCTTCCACTAACATGGAACCTGCCAGAAGGTCCCTGTTAAGACGAAAACGGTCTTCAAAGGGGTTTGTCTCAGGATCCATGTTAATGGGAGGGAGGGTACCTGGTTGAATTTGAGACTATACCTTTACCTCTAGAATGTTATGGATTGCGGGGTGTGGTTCCTTGCCTTTTAGCTGCAGGTCGACAAGATCTTCGAGCGGATGGATGTCAACAAGGATCAAAGGCTCGGGGTCTCAAAACCCTAAGATGTGCCAAATGGAGTAGACTGTGAACCCAGCCCAATGTTAGCTGAGAGGTCCATATTGATTAACTTGCAAGTTCACTTTGGGCTACATACTTGATAACTTGGCTTGGATGCGTATGTTCTAGACTACTTGCATATTGCTTAGATGCCTGATCTGCATTGCGTTTGCTCTTCGAACGTTCGGAGCGAGTTGGCTCACGGAGAGTGGTCAAATCTGGGCAGTCCCTGCATACATACAAATTGTCCCTTTCCTCTCCAAAATGCATACTGCGGGGACATACTGCTCTCTTGTTGTATTGTGTGATTAGCCATGGTTTATTTCATCACCAGGGATGTCGCGGTAGTGACTGACCTGTGGTGTTTGGCTCAAGTTTTGGGTTCCGTCGCGCCTCGAATGGGCGTCGCCGAACCCCTGCGTCGACCGACGGCATCTCGGGGGAGAAAGAGACCTCGGGCCGCCGTCAGGTTGGTAGGGACCAGTCGTGCGGCCTGTTGTCGACCAAGGTTGCGGGTTAACCCTTTTCTTGTTTGGTTTGTTTTCCTTTGGTTGTTGTTCTCTGGTGTGTGGGAAACCCTGATCTTTGGGACCGGGGATTGGTTTGCTTTTGGGGAACCTTTCTTTTGTGGCTTGTTTACCCCAACTTACCCATTGCCTGGGCACAGGCTCGTGCCCGAATCACAGGTTATCAGCCGTAGGACTTTCCTACGCGCTTGAGACCATCAACTACAAGCTCTATGTCGACCCCACGATCTCGCAGGAGTGTCGTGGATGAGGAGGCCATCCTAGGTGGCCTCCGCTCAGGTGAGGACCTACCGGACTATGACTACGAGGATTTCGAAGCAGGTTCAACAGGTCAGGACCGCAGGGGTGAAGATCCCGGTAGGGATACACCCAGGAGCCGTGGCGGGTACGCCGACGATGGAGACGATCGTATTTTCCGCCAGGCCACTGATGACGAGCAGACACGAAGGGTTTACTCCGGTAGGAGTGGCTCTGAATCAGGTCATAGACGTGGACGTTTTGACTTCATCAGCATGGCGATGGACATGGCCCGCCCTCATTCGGATGACCCGGAGGCCATGCCGATTCGACCTCCGAGATCTCTTGTTCCAGGTGAGTCGCAGGTCTCGGATGAGTTTGAGAATAGGCCGCAGGGACCAGGGACTATGGTTCTGGCTCCGGGAGGTATCCCGGGCCGATCCACTGGTTCTCAAAATCCAGGTCAGTTTGATGAGCACGAGGAGCGGAAATTCACGGACTTCGGATACGATGATCTGTTGAAATCAACCGCAGGTTGGGGCAGTAGCTCAAAGCAGGGATCTGATGCCGGTAGGCCCAACCCTAATACTGCCAAATCTGAGTCTTATGATGGCGAAGATTACAATTTTGCGGATGAGGAGGAGAGCCATTCGCGCCGAGATGCAGGCAGCCGTGAGACTGCAAGGACTAGTCCCGCCGCTGCCAAGTTTGAGGTCGATGATGATGACGAGTATGCCGCATTTGCGGATCGCCGTGATGAGGAGGAGGACCAACCACGACGAAATGCTAGGATCCGTGATGCTG